TTAATGGTTGGTGCGCCTGTTCGTAGCCACATGTTGGCAGGAAGTTTTAGCTTGTCTCTCTTGAGATGTGACACCCAAACAGCTCCCCTACCACATTTCACAAGAAGAGATCCATGACGTTGACCCAGTATCTCTCCAGGTTTTCCAGGCAGAAATCGGAGTTTTCCTTTCTCCAAGTGCGCTCCAAAGACACGAAACGCCTTGGTCCATTCGTTGTCCTCGGCGCCTTGGCTGGTGCGAAAACAGGCGTGAGCTCCTGGTGATGAATCAGACATACGTATCTGACAAGCTATCTCATCTGCTGGCATGTCCCAGTTGATAGAGCGGTCAACTTTGGTCATGTTTGAGCGAAGGGTGCCTCGTACGTTTGGATTACTGTTATCAAGAGGTCGTGGTGATGTTCCCTCTGATAGATTCTCAATTGCCTCAAGTACAGCTTCAACCGCTGCTTGAGTGACTTCGTTGACATACAAGCTCGACTTGGTCAGTGTGTTGATATTTCGTCGCCTGATTTGAAAGTTCTTAGTGCTCCAAATGTCTCCTGCGTCCATTTCCTCGGCAGCTTGTAATACAGTCACTCCCCATTCGTCTTCCCTGTCATATAGTGCCCAGTCGATCGAGCTTGCACCACGGTCACCCTCGACTCCAGGATGAACAATCCAGCAAGGAATTCTTGTGTTAGAATACACTTGCTCTGGGATTCGTTTGGTGAGGAACGGACAAAGAATTAGATCAGGTTGGACATGCTCCGCAAGATGGATCATCTCTGATGGTTCGTTGATTTCATTCACTTGAATGTTATGTTGTCTCTTTGTTAATTCCAGTGCCATTCTTTGACTGAGGCTGTTATGTTTGTTTGAGAAAAACAGGATGTTGAACTTTTTTCCCAGCTCTGGGAAAGTTGAAACTCTCTCTGGTTTTAGGTATTGGGATTCCAGTCGTCTGTGAAGGGGCGACAGGATCCATGGCTTTAGGAAAGTTTGCAGCGTAGTTATTCTCAACATCTTCACGACAATCGTGATTGAACTCGGCTACCTAAAGAAAAAGCAAACAAAACGTTTTACAAATAGCTTCTTAATAGCCTTAGTTTTAGGCGCGAATAAGCTATTTACACCCATTTTCTTTGTGAGGTATTACAGCAATTATTCCGGCTCTTCATTAGTTACTCATTGGCTGGAATGCTAAAAAATTCGAATAATAACTACGTATCAAATGGAAAAAGACGTTATTTAACAATTAATGAATGAGGCTGAGTATGTTATGAAGAATTATGGAGAACGAGGAGGGTGTTACCCGTCGAGGCCGTAGGGTTGGAATACTGCGTCTTAAAGAGCCTGGAACATTTTTCTTTCAATTCGTGTAAGGTTGTTTTTAATATCACGTACTTTTGTTTGGAGAATGGTGATTTTGCCAATCTGTTGCTCAAATAACTTATGGGTAAGCTTCCTCTCGATGTTTTAATTTCCCCAAAGAACTGAACAGTTTGTTGTCCATAATTTTAACTTCATCAACAAGAGAACTCAGCTTTGAAGTTATTTGTGTGCCTTTCTCAATGTTGTTGGTAATTCTGATATTATCGCTAGGCACTAATCTATAACCACTGTCAAAAACAGTTCATACTTAGGCAGGATTTTCTTTATTCATCATAGAGTTTATTTGTTTCTCAATATACCATCAATTTGCTGCTTCAGTTGTCTTCCCAAGGCTGTGCTCTGAAACTGTAAAATCTAGGGTGCCCAGCATATGATTTGTATGAAAAATCTGAGATTTTCTAGTCGCCCGAGGGCAAAAGTTAAGCGCCAGGGGCCACAGGGTTCTGCTAGAGCACAGCCCTGCTTCCTGTCCCATATTTTGAGTTTTCATAACACTGACCGTCACCCTAGTGTATTGCAAGAACTAGATTTTATCATTTATACAAGAGGGGGAGGGTCATGATATTTTAGGCCAAGCTCAAGGGGAGGGTGAGCAAATTTCACTCCCATTGCATGGATGGGTCACCTCATTTTCGAACCCAAATTTAAAATTCCCATCCCCCTCCCCCCTGCTAATTTCAGACAAATCCCTTAGTAAATTGAAGAAGGTTCAATTCGATCAGTGATAGTGATGTGATAGTAAACTGTACAACACGAGCTAAGTACTCAACGGATTTTTACCCTAAAAAGGTCACCTAGACTTTTCGGGAGCCTTTTTTCTGGCTGAAATTTTCGAAAAAGTAAGTTTTGATCCCTATAATTTTCAGATCACTAGACTTTCAGCTAGGAAATCCGAACAGATGAAAAATTTTTAGGGGATAAAAATACGCATATATCTACCGTTTAAATACTAAAATACGTTTAACAATGCTATGTTTAAGTGGTTTTGAATTATATTCTCGTTGGGTGTTCCTAAGTACTCCGCAAGATCGTCTCGGCGTGAGAAACGTCGATCTTCATATCCGACAATCCGACAAACTAAACTTTGAATTTAGCAATTTTCTGATTCTATAGTCTATAGCATTTAGCAAACGCTTCAGTTGACAATTGGAATTGCCTTTTAGTGCAACATTAGCGTAATGAAATGTATGAATTTGTTTGTAGCCTAGATATTTTGCACGCTAAGCCAGAGCGGAAAGTCTGCATTTGAAAAAGATAAGATAATTTTGGTGTACAATAACGGTTAAGTTAATTTTTTTAAATTTCATATTGATCGGCAGAAAATTCAGCCTTAAGTGCCCTGATAGATAAATGACCTTTTTCCTTTTTGAACGTGCTTTTAAATTATCCAGACGATTTCCCTTCGGTTATTATTATCCAGGGTATCATGTTACGACCCAATTACTTCTAATCAAAGTAACGGCACCCCTTGCGGGAGCACCCGTTATTTTCCTCAAAAGATATGTCCCACTGAACGCACAGGGTATGGTTTTTTAGGGTCTTGACCGGGGACTTTGCAAGGGGATACAATTTAAGAACGTGAAGGTTGGCGTGAGTCCTCTACAGGACATTTATTAAGATTTTTTTCGCAAAAGAAATTAATTTCATGATGTTGGTTTAAAAAGGTACTTGAAACCGGGTTAACAAACATTTTGTAATTTTTCCCAACTTCCCTGTCTAATAGCTTGACATATGTTTACTGTGTTGTTTGCTTATTTCGTTTGTTTTTTTGCTTGTTTTGTGGCTAGGGATTTGTGTAGAAGTGGATGTAGACAGAATTACTATCATACCCCCACCCACCCCCCCTCCCAATTTTTTCCCTACCCACAATTCTTTCTTTAGCACAAGTGACAGTTATTTGAAATCAGCGCGCGCGAAAAGCTGGTTTCGGTGCCGTTTAGCAGCTTAGTTTTATATATATTGGTCACCTTGAGAAAAGTTTCCCGGAGAGCATCATGTAAAGCTCTGAGATGGGACAAAGTTATTACGATTCGCAGAGTCTGCATTGTCCAATATCGTATTATATTCTCGTTTCATTTGGCTAAACGGATCAATCACCCTGATCCGGGCTGAGACAGAAAGGTACGATATGGTTCGCTTTTCTAAGGTGACCACCAAGTCTTCGGCCTCGGGAACAGGCTCTTAGGAGTCAAATGAATTAGGTGAGAGCAAAATTGCCCGTGAACTCTGGTGTGAAAACAAGGCTAAGGTGATCCGCCGACCGTGCGACTGTACATCCGGGAACTTGAATAAGACGAGTGTAAGAGAAAAGTCCAGAGGTGTTTATCTGGCAATAGGCTGAGTTTTTCCGAGTTATTCGATGATATTTCGCTTATGTTAAACGTGAGAAGATTATGCGTGGTTGTGGATAGTCTTATCAGTGCCGCAAAAGTGTGTGATCGTGTGATTTCCGCATGGTGTTGACAGGTATGTGATCGCGTGGTTGAACTGCGGTTTGGCCAAAATATTGTGTGCCAGCCATTAATATTGTTTCGTCGGTGTTTAGCTTAACTGACTGTACCTTGGAAAAGCGACTCTTGACTCAGGAAAATTGGATCTAGGTCTAGTTTCAGCGGGTTCTAATGGCATTGAACCATAAGACGATTTTGCAAATAAGAAAGTGATAATTTGTGTACGACGTTTCATTCAGTTTGTTGTCTGACCATGCGGAATTCTGTTGTTTATCGAACCGTGAAAAAAGTAGTGTTTTGCTAACTATTTAAGTTGTTATGTAAGCCTTCACCAGGCACTCGTTCGCTGCAGTTCACTCAACTTAAAAATTCTAGACTGAAATGACACCGGTTTGAAACTTCACGAAGTCAGCTTACTGAATAAATGTTCTAAAATTTGAGTCAATGTAAATTTGGACTCGTGGGAATGCTTCTAGGAACCACTAACTTACTGCCCGGCGTCATATAAAGGCTTTTAATCGGCCTTTGAATGAGTCTGGTTGTTTTAAATTGCCAAGTAGTAGAATGAGTTGATATTTTGCTGACCCGGTTTTCAAAAATCCAGGTAGAAATAAGGGTACCAAAATAAAGTCTCTTGTCTTAAAAAGAGTAGCGATATGAACGAACAGGGAGAGGGCCTGCAAGCTTACCCGGTTCACCTCCAACCAAACTTGTCTTCAAGTGTCTCCCTTTTCCCTTATAAAGGTCTTCGTTTTCTAGATACCCGATTTCGCACTATGTCCAAGCTCAACCGGGTCGCTTCTACTTTCAACCCAAGGCAATATTTCCAATCGCTTGAGATTTCTAAAGTAATCTCTTATGTTCTTAGGGGAATTAAACGAGCCATTTCGAGAAAATTGGTCAAAATTTCTGACGGCCGGGTATCTAGATACGTCGACAGAAAAAAATTTTCGCTTCGGTTTCTAACAACTTTGACTAAAAACAGTGTACACTTCTGAGGAAAAAGCACCATCTAACAGGTTTGCCATAAGTCTTTGCTTCTTCAAGGCAAAGGAGACTCTTTGCCTTTAAAATTGCTATGACTTACTTGTTTTTCAATGCAATATTCAGTAACAGGTCCGACGAAAAGCTATCGCGTATTCCAGAACTTCCCGGACTTCGATCAAAAGTGCTGTTTTACGTCCTTACGTAATCGTGCTTCTGCATAACAAACGGCACGCGAGCGTGTTGCAGAAACGTACGTGATCAAATACCCTAAAATTCCGAAAATAAGCCCCAGGGCTTATATTTTTCAAAGGCCCTTTTTGAGGGGCTTATATTATATTATTTGAAGTTCAGATTAATCAAATGCCGAGGTATGAAAATCTTTGAATGGATAAAATTGCTTCGAAGACATTTACGTCAAATTCAGGGAAACTGAGGTGGTAGAAATTTTAAACCGCCTCACGAGTGATTCACGGCTCATTACGGCTCACGGCGCAAGAATGCAGAGTTGAATCTGAAATTTACATCTACCAACGGATTCAACTTTTGAATAATAAAGAAGGTTGCGTTTGATTGGGAAATCCGGATTTAGATTTTGAAATCCGGATTTCGGATTTTGCAATCGAACGCGAAATCCGAAAACAGATTTCACTTCCGAGAAATCCGTCCTCATGGTGGGTTTCACAAATCCGGATTTCATGGATTTCCTTTTTACCCTTTGATTGAGAAATCCGAAAAAGGATTTGCAAAACTATTTTGAAATCGTGAACAGCTTTGCTAATAATGCGTGCGCGTCATGAGACCGCTGTTGTTAAGGACAGTTTTTCAAATCCTTTTCGGATTTCCTAACCGAACGGTAAAAACAGATATGTCAGCGTTGAAATCCGTTTTCGGATTTCATTTTACGGGCTCGTGCACTTTTGTTGGTCTTTGAAAAATTTACTCGTGCTTATTTATTCCAAATTGCACTCGAAATCATGTGATAACCTATACTTATATCAACATTTGAGATCAAAAGGTGCAAAATTCTGTGTTTTATGAAGCATTTCTACCGATCACTTGCCCGGGCCCCCGCACTCGTCTAAACCATTTGTATAGTCCGTCTGAAGAACGTTTAGAGCGTCTACGACGCAGGCAAGTAACTCCCGCACTCGGCTTGATTCAAGTGATCTCAGGTTTGTGACCTTGATTGATGATTGTAGTTGAATTTTACGGTTGATACCGCGCATCGCATTTGTTTTTATACTGTAGAAACAGCGACGTTCATAGTCGATTCTACAGTAAACAGAGGCGACTCTTGCGATCGGCTGTAAAGCAGCCTAATTGTATTATATTGTATCAAATGTATAGCCCTCGGCTAATTAGCGCTTTGCAGAACTTGGTCGCATGCTTGGATACCACTTAGCAACGGCTCTCTGCATGGCGAGCAACCCAAGTGTTCATTCAGATCACAAAGCTTTGACTGCGATCGGGAGAAGCCTTTCTAGTAGGTTAATTTAATCGTCTTTTAAGTCTTCTAGTCTAGTCGTTTCGGTTAATTTACAACAGAATAACTAAACAAGCAATCAGTAATGATCAGTTCGGTCGATCGCACTCAAAGCTTTCTGATCGAAGGTGAGCGCTTGTAGCTGTCCCGGGAGCTTGCCATCCAGCCAACCGTTGCTAAGTGATATGCAAGCCGCACAATGACCAAGTTCTGCAAAGGGCTTATTCTTCATAACCAACCAGCGTTGACAAAATTTGGGAGATGGCGCAATATACCATTGATTCGATGGTATATTTGTCTGGAAACGAGGCTGCTTGGGTAATGATGACCTTAAAAAAATGGCGTTCACGGTTATCCGAAGGCGAATTAAATGAATTTCTGACTAAAACGGACGAAATGTAGCAATACCTAAAAACGACTTTTCGGTTCATTCCAAGGGGAATTTTTCGGAAAAAAAATCACCGGAAAACTTCACCGTTCACGACAATGAAAACTTCCCAGCAGATCCAATGATCGCTGAGATACACAGTTTGCTTTTCTCTGGCTCTAATCAGACGGTGGTAGCGAACAGGTGGAAACCTCACTGACATACCCAACGAACTATTTTAAAGACCGACTATTTAAAGTCAAAAATCATTGCTTCTGGCTTATAAGCCAAAACAGACCAAAAATATACTTGAGGAGTCTCTAAATAAAAACATCAAAAGCGAGTCCTTTAGGAAACCATGCACGATTAGAGCTTTGCCTGTCTCAATCTAGCAACTTTTGTTTCCGTTGGCGTCATCCGAGCGTGATCACTTTCTCTAGCCAATTTGAAGCAATTTTCAGCGAAAAGGACAGAAATCCGGTTTAGTGCTTAAGTATTCCTTACCTGTATTTTTTGCCTCCTGTTTCTTGTCAGTAACCTTGTCTGGTCTAATCGCCCGGGTCTAATCGTCGAATCGATTTGTCTTCAAAACAAGCAATGCTTTCCTTTTGTCATTTACCTTAAGTAATACCGCGTGGAACGCTAAAATAGTAACCCTTCCGGCTTTTCCCATTGGGAAAAGGGGAGGAGCAATGAAGTCCAAATTTCACGTGGGTCGTCAACGATTGAATATAATGACGACAACACGTTGGCTAAATAAGATAAAGTTTCGGTTTCCAGAAGTTAGAACCTTAGTACACCATTTTCTGTTGAAATATGCCATTCTATCTTTACACGATAAATAATACAATAAAAGAAATACAGGGGTTAAAGTTATATTGTTTGCATTAGGGTTCATCAAAGTAGGGTGTCTTCACTCACGTGGCCAGTATCTATGCAAATTTAATGGAACAAGCGTTTACACAGAACTCCCACCGGAGTTTGTTTGGCCGCCGGGACGTCATATGAAAAACACTCTTGGGTGTGCAATTTTGTTTAGTGTCATAAATCAAGAAGTAGTCTTATTATAAATGGTACGATTATTCCCACAGGAAAGCAAAGATAAATGAAGCTAATAGCGTCAAATAGTATAGTCTGGCTCTTCGTTACAGTTAATCATCAGGGAATTTGTAGCCTGCATAACAAGCGCTTCATGAGCCAAGGTGAACGCGGCATTTTGAGCGAAGCGCGAAACGAGCGCAAAGCGCTAGACAAGGGAAGGAAAATGCCGCGTTCGCCTCGCGTAGCTCATAAAGCGCCTGTTATGCAGGCTAGGAATTTGCCGTCCGACATCTGCTCAACCAAGAACAACATTCCTTTCCCATTGTTTCATTCGCGTGGTGTTTGGCATTCCGCCAGAAAATTTTTGGGCATAAAAAGCAAAACGTTCAAACGGCGTTTGAACGGAGCATAAGGCAACCGGCTGAGATTCGGTTAAGCTAGAAAGCCATTAGAAAACCCTCTTTGAATAGACATTGTAGAGACAATGGCTTCTAATAAGGTTAGCATCTCTGACACTATTTTAACCCGCATTGTAGCTCCCTCTAGAATTACCTAATGAGAGGAACAAGACGGAGAGGAGACATGCTTACACATTTTTGGCCGATGAAGTTTGGTTGAGCTGGACGGGATGTTCCACTTTTAAAGTTTTAATTGATCTCGGAGTACAGAAGCGTATTATGTTTGTCTCGTTTTCAATAATAATGTCATGGTGAAATAAAGAGAAGAGAAAGGTTTGGCACTAAAATATTAGCATCCATTCGTTTCAAGACATAGGAAAAATTGGTCCTATGAGATTCTTGATCGCTAAGGAAATGGAAACGTATTTGAGTAGAAGATCCAACAGGCAAAACTGTTCACGTTCTGTAACATGGCTATGTGCGGGTACTGTCAAGATTTTGTGCGCGTCGGATGAATGCGCATGCTTGCGATCTGACAAGATTTTTCCGTAAATATGCAGTGAAACCTCTATTAAGCGGACACCTTCGGGACCTTCCCAAGTGTCCGCTTAATAGAGGGTGTCCTCTTAATAGAGGTTTGCAAAAATTGCGCAATGTTTGTTTATGATTAACATTCAACGGTTACTCTGTACTGCGATAAAGTTCCATGTTGTTAAAGAAGCTAACTAAAGGAAGCTGTGCTTTACTTTGTGCAAGAGTTTTAGGGGAACCCTTGACAGCTAAATGTATTGATTTATCTTCATTAATCGACTACAGTACGTATTTCAAGGACGTAATCCAACACCACTACTGTCAATTCAGTCCGGTATCCGCTTAATAGTACCCTGGGTACCAGAGGTTTTTTCTCGCGTGCGACAGGGAGCTTCGTTTCGTCGGCCGCAGGCCGAAAACACGAGCGGCGAAGCCGCGAGAAAAAACCTCTGGCGCAGAGTGCCTTGAGTTACCATGCTAGATGGACCTTGACCTTGTCTCTAATCTGTCAATCAAAGCGGCGGTCGCGAGACTGTTTAATTAGCTAATTCAATATTATCAAGGGTAGCCTGTTCCGGGCGTTCAGATAGTGGGGAGCGGTGCGAAATAAAAAGGAGCGCGAAAAAAATAAAAGCTTTCTTTACTTCGCACCGCTCTCCACTATCTGAACGCTTGGACCAGGCTATATCAAGGGAGGAACGACGCGCTCTAGTCTAAAAAGTCACATTATCTTTAGAAAAACAAGGTGTAGTTTAAAAATCATTGCTAATCTTGTCACTGTGCAGTTCTCCATAATCTATGTAGCTTCAGTTTAAGCTGCAATCTATTCATCGAAATTTGGATCTGAAAATCACTAATGGCAAATTTAACATCCTGTAAAAACTACTAACCATGCTAACGAGCTGGGCCCAGCGTGATAAAACATTGCAGGAAACCTTCACCGGGCACGAACAAAAGTAAATCACTTTTAGTTATTCAGATTCAGGTCCCTGATCCCAAAATGTAGCAAAATTAGAGAGAGATCAAGAGAGAGAGATCAAGTGTTCAAGTTATGTTTCCCCGACGTCGACTATCATTCATTAATAACAACTAGGCGTATTTACCTCAAGTAGATGTTTATTTGTTCATTCTGAATCACGTTCTCATCTTGTCTTGCATGATGTATTAAGGAATTATTTGAATTCTGCTGCTTGCTTCTGAAAAATGCTCGGTCCATTACACATTACCTGATTAGTTGACTTTTTCAAAACTTTCTTGGTTGAGAAATGTAAAACTCGTATGATGCTATGAGCAATAGAAAACACTCTATAAAACATTGCGATAAAAATAGACGAGATATAGACGACAATTAAATAAAAAACTAGATCTCCACGTTTCGACGGCTCAAGTTAACGTCACGTAAGAAATGAATAAAAGGACTGAATCTAAATATATGGCAAAAGAATCTATACAAGGCACGACACTTATACCATCGACTTTTCAATTATGAAGAAAGGTGGATCGAAGTTCGATTGTTTGATTTTTGAGACCTTGTTCATTAACGAATAGAATTGCCTTCAAGTCGAGCTTCGAAAGGTGAGCTGGCAAGGAGAAAAATATACACAATGCGAGCCAAGACCGAGCGCGAAGCACAAGGTAAGAGAGCACAAGGCCACCTACAACCACGAAGGACTATGAGAAAGGCTTATCGAGAAAATGAGACCAGTGTTAAAAATTAAAAAAGACTCCACTCGAGCACTAAAAGTGTCTACGTGACTCTTGCATGGTAATATTTCATTTCTTCCACTTGTAGCCTCAGTATTGTTATTTTAAGTTTTTCCATTTTATCGCAATAGTGAAATTGTGGCTGACAATGCAAAACGTGTATTTAAAGACGATATCTAGTGACTCTTCTCCCAGATCTACTGCGTCCAGCCTCAAACCGGGTTCTGCTACTAGGCTCTTCGTCTTCCACTTCTGCAAGATTCTCCTCTTCCTGGCTCTCATCGTCGCTGTCGTCTGATTCGTTGTCTAGAAGCCCGTTAGCCAAATTCTTGAGACGCCGTTCCTCGTTCCTTCTTAAAATAAATTGTTCAGCTCCCCGATCAACAGAGACTCGGTCCATGATGCATTTTGGTGAATTTTGATCGTCAAAGTTTCCTTCATTGTAGACTAAAGGATCTTCCTCTGATTGCTCAAGCCAATTTATTTTGAGTTTTTCCTCCCAGAAACAATCATTCCTGCTGTGAAGATCTTCACAGAGAATTGCTAGAAAAAAAGGCTCCAGATACGTCCTGTAGTTATGCTTAAGAGCGACAACTTCTCACAATTAAAGTGGAGGAGCACTAAGGAAAGAGAGGCAGGTGGAAGGCTAATAAAAAGGCTTCGAGACTAGGAGGCTTAGAACGTGTTCGTGGAGACGAAAAGGTGACAATTCGTGCGCGAGAGAGAAAAGAAGAAATCCAATCTGTTCAAGCAGACACTCAAGGTCATGTTTCACATTATCAAGAGCTTGTAAGTCGTGTTTTGCCTGTCGGACGCTAATTTCTAACTGCATCGATCGTTGTTTCGGTCAGCATTTGTGAAATAGCGTACACAGTCTCTCAAGAGACAATCCACGGATTCCAACAAATCCGTTGTCGGGGAGCCAACAACTACCACTACTGTGAGGGCTATGAATAAGAACCAAATCTTGCTCGAAATAAACGCGGCCATTGCGGCCATACTTGATTCAAAACTGAAGTTACTTTTCAGCTCCATCGTACATGAAGGGGTTTTTTGCTGACGGTATAATTCGGTGCCTCTTATATGACGTCTTTCTGTGACCCCATATACCACATGCTTGTTTGTAACGCATATATATGGGCTTTTTTGTGCGCATATATATGCGCGTTTGTAAGAAAATGGTCATATACTTGGGAATAAAACGCAAGTATACGTGACAAAAAACGCACGTATATCGTGTAGCAGGAATGATTGCAAGTATACGTGGGAAAAAACCGCACGTACATCGTGTCATAATTTTGAAACAAATGGCCGACCATAAGTTTGGCGCGAACTATTTACGTCCCTGTCGCGTGTGTTGTCGTGTGCGAGTGTCGTCGCGAACTGTCAAACTATGTCAAAACAAACAGATAACGAAAAAAAATTCCGATAAGAGAAAGTAGATAAAGTATTAAATACAGGAATGTTCAATACAAAAAATGTATAATAAATAAAAGTGCCGTCTTGTGATATTTGAATTGTGAGCTCAGTCTCCAGACGTTTCGGGCCCGTTGCAAGGTTTCCATTCGCCATGAAGAAAAACAAAAAAAATGTAAACTTTGTAGTGCGCGCGCTCAAAACAAAACAAGTCGGTAATGGTTTTAGCTCCATGGTTGCCAAGAAAATCCGATCTTGGTAAAGTACTCAAATGGAGGAGGATAAAACGCCCACTAAAGCTTTGTATTTAAAAGTACAGGCGATAAAACGAAATCGAAATACAGCCCGCAGAAAATACACAGTTCAATTGAATTTGGATCAAACAGTTCAAGTCACGTTTCATTTGGCGGTTTGATTGACGGCGCATCAGTAAAACCATTCGTGATTGGTTAAAACCTACAGGAGGAAAATTCCTCCTGTAAATTTGGCGCGCTGCAAGGGGATAAAAGTCGTTCGCGCTGAGGCCAACTACCGGAACCGGAAATGAGAAGCGAAAGACTTTGAGAAAGTCTAAGTAAATGCTTTCTGGTGCGCTAGTAGTAATTCACTATAATAGATTAGTTGTCCCGTATTGACGGAAGCAGCCATTTCTTCATCATCATTGGAGTCAAGTAAAATGCTATCTGTTTGTGGACAAGGAATAATTAATTGGGTACTTGTCCCGCCAACTAGGCTTGACGCAGTTACAGCCCTCAACTCAAAACAAGCCACTTATAAATAGGTTTCTAAAATACACTCGTTTTTTCTACTGTTATCTAAGCTACTCACTTTGTTTAAGTAACTAACCCCTCAAGTCCTCATGCAATTTCGTCTTCGCTGATGTCACCAGTTCTAATCAAAACCCTCATACAGTGATAAACTGGCACAATTACCTGAACTGAACACGTATCTTCCTTGTAGCGAAATGACAAGCAGACTCTGAAGCAAAAGATATTAAGTATTCACTGCTTTTTACTCTTCCATCAATCAAAATTAGAACGACCAATAAGATCGACCAATAAGAAACAATGGATTAAAATCTACCAATCCATTTATCACTGTTCTGTGAATCATTGTAGCGGTTCTTTTAGAAACACAGGTTGAAAAAAGGTGTTTCCGTTTCCGTTTTTGTAACGGTTACCTCACGGAAACTGACACGTATGTAGAATGTTAGGGATTAAATTTTAAATTCTTACATCAATAAATTGAAAATAATTTTCGGTGTTAGCTGAGCCGTTTCAGGGTCATAAACATTGCCTGTGAAGTTGCTAAGGAAATAGAAATATAGAAAATATGAAGAATATGTAGAAATATGAAAACGAAAACTGTAAGTTTTAGTCTAGTTGCAATTAAGTTTCCATTTGGTCTTCAAAATTATTGGAAAAAAAAACTTCTTAATACCTTTAATTGGTTTAAACTGAAGTGTTTGTTTTAATAACTTTTTCTGTTGAGTCACTAGGGAAGTACTGTTTCAGGAAAGCGGAAAGCACAACTCAGTTCAAAGTAGAGCCCAGCGTTTACGTTCAAGACCATTATGAAGGTTACGACGTAAAACCTATTTTATTGACAACTTACAACGTATCTTACGACGTAACGTGTAGCTAAAATTTATTTTACGTCGTAACGCGAACCTCCTCGTTTACGTCGTAATTTCAAGTAGGTATTATGATTACGACGTAACGTGTCTGCTAAATATAATCACGTCGTAAACGTGACGTCGGGATATATTTGAAGACTTAAAGACGACCTTCAAAGTACACTTAAAAAATAAACTACAGGATGTACAAGCCTGACGTACCTTCGATCTGCATTCCGAATCTCCCACAGTTGACTTGCCGGAGTGGAATGAATGGGTTCAATTTTCAGAAACAGCAGTGGGTTTAGATTTACTGTCAGTTTTGTTTACTGTACCTCGTGTGTCTTCGTGGAGACCAAAGTTTTTGAGACATCGCTTTGTTTCTACCCTGCAAACGCTGACGTACTTCCGCTGCATAACAAACAATTGTACGAGTAGCGAAATTTTCTATTTACGTAATATGTATAGTACAGTGGAACCTTGATATAACGTAGGGCCAAGGGACTTGGAAATATCGAGGTTCTTTTCCATATATTTTACTATTACTGGGGTAGAGAAAATCGTTCATTATAACGAGGACATCGTTCTATAGAGTTCGTTATATCAAGGTTCCACTGTACTGGTTCCCGAAGGCCTGCGGTCAAGTGCTGCGAGCAGATCTGGCTACTTTGGACAGCTATTTTATTTTCCTACCTAAGTAGAACGTAAATATCGTTTATAGTGTGAAATAAAGAATTGAATCGATACTTTGATAGCCTCCCACACAGGCTTTTTAGAGCTTTTTCAAGAGTTCCTAACGTTTTAAAAACAAAACTGAAAATACTGAAATACGGTAAAGGGCTTTTACGCTAAGACCAAGCCTCTAAAACCACAGGACGCAGAGCAGTTAATTGTGACCTTGATTGTTGATTGTAGTCAAATTTTACGGCTTATACACTGATACCGGGCATCGCCTTTGTTTTTAAACGGTTGAATCGAACAAACCGTCATTCAGTCGTATAAACCTGGTGAATTGAATATTATCCAATGCTCCTGGAAACCGCTAAAGGTAATGACTGTGGACGAATAACAGCAGCTAAGATGAGACAAGGGATGGAACTACTATAGGCCACTGTCATAAATCGTCAGTCGTGGACGAATGGGCGCAATTTTCCACAGCTGATACCAAAACATTCTTTTTTCACTTTCAGAGAAAATTGGAACATTAACTTCGTTTCAACTGTCTTTCCAGGAGCACAATTTTCAGGCGTTCGGAAAGCTCGTTTTCGTACGATGTGAACGTGTTCTCTGGGTGCTCGGGGGGGAAGGGGGGGGGGGGGGAAAAAAAATGAAAAGAGAGCTTGCAGTCACGCCTCAGGAACTTCCCTTTTTTCTCCCCCTTAGCCAGAGCCCTCAAGCTAGTTACACCAGTTGCTCTTACCATTTCTTAGAACTGACTGGCTAGACCTGTCCAGTTGTAAAGAAAATTCCACTATTAATCTGGACTATCCAGTCAGTTTATTCCTAAATGGTATGCATCGCAGTGTTGGATTGTAGTAAATTATTATTATAAGAAAAGACAAATATTTTATTTTCAAAATGACAGGTCTGGCAGTTCTGACTTTTTCAAAGCGCCTTTAGTCTTCCTCGCCGGCGTTTTTGTCTCGTCGCACAACGCTCCTCCCCAAAAGGAGTCTGGGATCAGTTCACTGGGCTAAACGTCAGACTGAAGTCGCCACGCCCGAAGAGAAGATTTTACGCAAATGGCCCCAAAGGTGTTTCTCCACGAACTCACAGGTTTATTTTATTACGTTACATGTCTTTAATCAACCATGAGCACACAAAAATGTCAGGTCTATTCCCGCTGAATCAGCGTGTTTTAATGAAATTAACTGACCACCTTTCATCTAGCCAGCCATGGTCTTTCTTGTTCGTAATGACTATCGCGCTTAAATAACAGTAGTCTCTATTGGTTTTGTCATGTTCGACGTCATGTTTGACCTTGATTCCAGTTTTATCGTGGTGCGATTGTAGCTGTACAGAAGACCGATTCAGAATGCGACCGTGTTACAAGTCTGGTCGGATTATCGTCGAATGGTGTTGATATAGGTTGTCCGAGTAGCACGAGAAACACTGAAAACTACTCTCAGCTGGTCCCTGTGCTCTTTATAAGTCATCCAGAGTCTTGACGTCGACTCGAAGACGAGAACGAGATCGGTAAGCAGGCATAGAGAACGGGCATGAAGAGAATTTAGCAATATGAACGTAACAATCTCTTGAGGCCCCTTTAGGTCCGGGAGGTACTCTTGGACATTTTGGGAACATTCAAGTTTCAGACCAGAACAGGTGTTACGTGTTCTCAAGGGACGATTGGTTTCAGACCCTGGTTTCAGAGAGAACAAAACGTTACCCCTATTTCAGATCCATACAGTTTAAGTGTATACCCACTTTTTGACCAAAAGCGCTAAAAACCATACTCTTCAGCGCCACTTGATCGGTACATGGGCAGCGCATATCTCATGGAATCTCAGGTCACGTGACAGTGAGGTAGAACCTCTATTAAGCGGACACCTTCGGGACCTTCCCAA